GCCCTTCATGTTTCAGGGAGCCTTAGAGCTTGTGATGTTCATCAACATATGCCCGCTTAGAAACACAATCTTAGCAAGAACCAACTTTCCCCGACAGCCGAAGCAAGCTGTCTGCTCGGATGGCGCGACCTTTTCTCGAGATGAGAGTGCCTTTCTGGCCGAGTCCTCAGAGTGATGGAGCTCCTCACAGGGAGTTGCTGCTGAGATCGGAGCATTGAGCGTTATGATGTTCGGCCGCTGTAGCTTTTGGGACTCAAAGTCTGGTTTTGTAGGGCTGGGTTTTTTGCCATGGCGCCGAAGGCCAAGGCGAAGGCTTTTGCAGGCGAGGCATGGGAGAAAGGATTGGACATCACGGACTTACATATGGCCTGGGACGGGGACCTAACAATCCGAACAAGGCTACGAAATGGTGGGCTGCTCCTACATGAAAAGTCGGGGCTCGCATGTGACAACCATATTTGCAAGCTCAATCGATCTGTGTTGGAGCCTATCTTGATGGGAATGGCTAGTTCGGCGGAGCGGAAGCTCCCTTCCTTGAGTGATCTGCGTAACGAAATGCAGATCACGTACCGAACAAACATCAGGATGTGCAGTCTGCTGTTGCTGGCGACGCGGTTCATATCAGGAAGCTGTTGTCCCACGTTAAGGCTAAAGTGCGCAGACATGAGGTCAGCCTCGATACTTGTCCGAATTATTAATCCAGCCATGCCTCTCACTTGTCTTACCATATAAACCCCAAACCCCAAAACCCTAAACCCTATAAACCCTAAACCGTATAAAACCATAAACCCTATAGAGCTCAACCAACCCTCTCATGTCGTGCCCAGCCCAGGACGAAGACTTTCAAGAGATGTGTTTGGCCTTGGACCCCGGGCTTCAGGACGCTTGCTTTCGGAAATTATAAGGCTAATCTACGCAAGCCTATCCAGGAGATTGTGGATTCTGTACGTGCTCGAAGTGCATGCAGCCAGAACCTCGAGGACTGTATCATGCAGTGCGGAATAGGTTGCCGATATTCCTACATATAAGATCCCTTCAAACCGATTCGCAGGATGAAGACGAGGACGAGGATGCTTACGACGAAGACGCCGGCCCCGAAGAGACGGACCCTGCATCCGAAAGCACTCCTGCCCCGGCATCCGTGAGCCCTGAAGCTACTCCCAACGACAATCCGCCGGTAGCAGCTACTACCACGACACCCGCATCCTCGAGGCCCTCAGCCCCAGCTGCTACCACGACGCCGGAATCCTCAAGGCCCCTAGTAGCCCCAGCCGCTACCACGACACCGGAATCCTCAAGGCCCTTAGCCGCTGCTACCACGACACCGGAATCCTCGAGGCCCTTAGCCGTAGCCGCTACCACACCGGAATCCTCGAGGCCCTTAGCCGCTGCTACCACGACAACGGAATCCTCGAGGCCCTTAGCCCCAGCTGCTACCGCGACGGAATCCTCGAGGCCCTTAGCCCCAGCTGCTACCACGACACCAAGCGCTACTCTTAGCAGGTCCTTATCGGCAACATCTGAGGCTCGGTGATTTCGCAATGAACAATCCTGTAGTATAGAAACCCTTACATAATTAAACCTAACATACTCCTATACAGCCCTGCAAAGGCACTCAGCTCTCCCCCATGCACTCCTATCGGCCACGTGAAGACCAAGCCAGCTTTCACGCCAACGCCTCCATCCGCACTTCCTCGCAAAGGCGATACCACTGCAGGGCATTATGATTCGGGTTTGTTATCCTTGAATATAAGTGAGCGAAACTCCCTTGAGGCTTTCGGCTTTCTGTTGGAGATCGTGCTACGATTGAGGCCAGGGTTGCCGAGCTCAAGGAGAGGCTGGCACGAGCTTCTACGAGCCATGACTTCACTAGTGTACGGAAATCAAATGATGATTTGATTTGATGCTTTTGGAATGATGGCGGTATCGATCTGGGCTCTCATTAGGAAGACTTCACCACCTCCGACGCCTGAGCCTGTGGAGGCTCCAGCAGCATCCGGAATTTTGGCAAGCATTCTCTTAGGAGCATTCAATAAAATATTGCACGGACCTGAATCTATGAAGCTCCGAATCCCTCTGCTAAGGACCCTCTTCGTTCAGCTCGAATGCTTTCTCCGATGAGACACAACCTTGGAATGTGATGGAAGCCTCACTCGACGACATTACTGTCGAGCCTTCCCCGGCAGATCTGTCCGAAGCAGCGCCGGCAGGTCCTGGCGAGTTTACGGAGAGCAACGAAGAGGCCAGATTACCATGGAAACCCTAGAAGCCCTATAAACCCTAAACCCCAAACCCCAAACCCCAAACCCCAAAACCCTAAACCCTAAACCCTAAACCCTAAAAACCCAAAACCCTATAAACCCTGAACGTTCCTATAGGACCTGCGAAACTATGAAAGGTTAATTGCCTGGTTTGTTTGTAGAACCAAAACTCTTCGATCCAGTGTATTCCCCATCTTAAGAAGGGGCTTTTGCCTTATATAAAACCCATTATATATGATTCTTAAATCTAGAGATGGTTTTCGGATCGATTCTTTTAACCCCCCATAGGTGGACTATCCTCCGCTGACGAAGAGGGACCAATTTCGGTTGAAGGCGCGAAAGAAGGATGGGCCGCGACCTGGGCGGAAGAGCACCAAGAAGAAGCGCGGCAGCGATGCTTCGAAGTGTGCCGTGGCTTCGCCGCCCAAGCGGCGACGACGGTTGCTGCGCAAATCCTCTCGAGTCGCCGAGAAGGAGCACGAGGACGAGGATGAGGAGGCTGGCGAGGGGCCGGCACCCAAAGCAAAGGCGAAGTGTTCGCCGAAGGCAAAGGCGAAGTGTTCGGCAAAGGCGAAGGCGAAGGCGAAGTGTTCAGCAAAGGCGAAGGCGAAGTGTTCGGCAAAGGCGAAGGCGAAGAAGTGTTCGGCAAAGGCGAAGGCGAAGTGTTCGCCAAAGGCGAAGGCAACTGCCAAGTCCGCTGCCAAGGTGAAGCGGGATCCTCCGGCGGGCAAGAAAACCTGCAGGGGCCGAAGGGCCCCGCCGTGCGAGGGTGATGCAGTCTTCAGCTTGGATGAGGGACTTTGGTGGTACCTCTATGTGGACGGCCAGGACGAGGTCAAGAAGATCATTGCGGACTTCACCCAGGAGGCGGAGTTCAAGGACGGAACGCTGTGCACGGCTTTCAAAGCGGACCTGAAGGCCCGGGTGGATGACTCCGCAATGTTTGGTATGACCATGTACTGGACCCGGCCAGCTGTGGGCCTCTTGCACAGAACGACCGGCATTGAGATAGGCCAGGTCTCGATTGGGAAGGTCGAGGCAACTTGGGCTGCCAAAATGGCGGCTTTGGGCAAGGCAGCCTCGTTGTTGGCAACATACATCGAAGGCTTGATCAAGGATGGGTATGTCGAAGACACCGCCTCAGCCATGACGAAGAGTTACGACATTTTTGCAATGAAGGAGTTCCTGAAAAAAGCAGTGGTCTCCGCAATCCTATAGGCTAGAACCTGGACGCAGCCACGTCCTGATCTGATTTACCGGGTAGCAGAATGCTGCTTGGCTGCTGTGTGCTTAGTGCATCGACGGGTGTACAAGTTCGAATGGACTTGTGGAGGGAGGTCGATGTGTTGTGCACTTAAGGCCTTAGTGCAGTGTTGCTGGGGTGATGCTTCCGATCCCGGTGGCCTTCAGGGGAATATAGCTTGGGGTGGATAGTGCACTTAATATTTAACATTAGCTTCGTCTATATAGACCCTGAAACTAATCTGAAGGTCCGACAGATCGAGTCGTGCACTAGTCTCGGCTAGCTAGCTGTGCTTTACCGAGATCATGTGCTCCAAGAGGACACGTTATCGGATAAAAAAAGCCACCTCTTAGAACCTCTTGTTAAAAGACCCGAACCCTGCCCTACGTGTGCACACTGATTAGAAAACCCTATCTGGTTATAGATGTTTCTAGCATCGATCCGTATCGGGTCCTCGATGCCTCTGATCTCCGCATCGTCGTGAGCCGCGCCGGCGCTTTATGGAGCGAAGAAAAGCCTCAGATTCGTTCAGGAGCAGCAGCTTTCCGAGAGTTTGGTCAGTCTCGTGTTGTCCATCAGAGCTGAGCACTGCTTGCTTCAGAAGTGAATCCCCGATGGAGACCCCCAGCGAACTTTCACAATCAACCCGATCATTGCATGTGCACAAAAAGAATTGTCGCCGAGGTCCGACCACTCATGCCGCTGCTTCCCCGCAACGTCCTCTGGAAGGCTCGACTGGCTCAGAAGCGAGATACGGCAAGCCGTGAACCCGGCTTGTGTTGGTTCTTGTGCCTACAGGACTTCAAGTGCACTGCCCGCTCAAAACCAATCGATCCATGCAGCCTTTTGCAATTTTGTTTGAGATATCGTAGCAGATTGGTTAAGACCAGCAAATCGTAGCACTGATCATAAGATTCCTTGCAATTAAGAATGGACTTCGCATATCCTGAGCCCCAAACCTTACTAACTCCTTGTGGCCCTTGTAGAACCTGAAACTCTCCATAAAGACACGGAAAAATCCTCGGTAGTCAGAGACGTTCTCCACGATGATGGATTTAAACGTCCTTTGCTGGCGACTGCTGCAGCTACAAGCGCCGAAGGAGACCACCCCTATATAGATCCCACATACAAACCCCAGCCCCCTAATCCCTATGTAAACCCCGTATATAAATATAAAAATAAATATAAGCCCTCTAAACCCTAAACCCCGAGCCCAACCAACCCTACATAAAACCACGCCCAGGACTTCATCTTGACGGTTTTGCTCGTGGCATGGACCGTTGACCCGAAGAAGATGACCGAGGCTTCAGATCAGAAGTGTTGGTGTGGTGTTACATGATATCACAGTCTATAGATGTATCTAGGACTACAAGTTCCTCGAGTTCTTCGCTGGCTATGGTAATCTGCACCGAGTAATGAGAGCCCTTGGCCACCTGAAGTCGGCCCGGTTCGACCTGAAAGATCACGCTTCCCGAAAGAACCGAAAGTCTAACTATATGGACCTGAATAGCACGAGTGGCTTCTGGATCCTTGGATTGATTGAGCTGGATTTCAGAAGGGCAGCTGTGGTGTAGATCGGTCGCATGATCATATCCTGGGATCCCAACTGCACTCACAACTAAGTCTTGCCATCTGTTACTTGCTTCGGGTGACTCCTGGCGATGGATATGTCCATTTTGGAATGAAGTGCTCTTCTTTATGTTCCATGAACATGGGCACGAGTGGCCGCAGCGCATGTGCATCGACTGGACGTGAAAGCTGCCCTTCTGTGGTCTACACGAACCAACTGCTCGAACGGACTGCTTGTGTTTAAAAACCATTTGCAGCAATGCCCCGAAAGCCAAGCCCCAGTGAAGCCATCCGCCGGCCCAAAGGACCACGCTGCTCGTTCTGCTCTGCACCTGCTTGGGCTTGGTTTGGACTGTTGAGCAGCCAGCTGGTTCGGTGCTTGAGTTCTACCCTGCCTGGCGATGGCTAGTCGCTAGAATGTGTGATGTTATCGGACCTTATGCAGCCCACGCCTTACACCCTGAACGGGTTTCTGTGTCTCATGTAGCAGTTGGCAGTGATATTTGTTGTCGGTTCGTGTGTAGGATGCCTCTGGGGATTGTAAGGTCAGCAAGACTTCCTTCTGGATGGCACACTATATGTCCCAGACTCCGAAGAGACACTGGATGTACTCCAATTCCTGTGTGGTGGGTCGGCTGAACAAAGGAAGCTTGTCCGTTAAGAAAATCCCAGGCCGGAAACCAATCACCGTCCGGCGATACAAGGGCAAGGACGGCCGGACAAAGTACCAGGGTACGAAGGCTTTACAGGGCACAGAGTTTCTCGTCGGCATATGAATCATAGAAGTAGCAAAAGCCATGCAATCAGAGCAGGTTGGGGGGCTTCGCAGGTTTGATTCAAGGGCTTTTTTGTGCATTTACAGTTACCAGCAAACTATACCACACATGGATGGACCCAAAGTTGTCAATCATAGCTAGTGAAATATTCTTATCCGTACGATTATATAGATCCCTATATATACCCACTACTTCTTCCGGTGTTGCTTAAACCGTTCATTCTTATACCCGGCCTAGGCTTACCCCATCGGGATGTCCACAACCATAAACAAGCACACCCAACTTTATATGAGTCACACACAGACACACTTACTCGCACATGCCGAGTCATGCATACTATGCATGTATGCATGTACGTGTGCAGAATACATGTACACAGAAGTATATATGTTAGCATGTATATATGTAGGCACGCTTGCACAGACATGTTCATGCTCCTATATACACCGCCGCAGAAGGTGTCTCAAGTCTATGTGTGTGTGTGTAAATATACCTCCGTGCTGAATAGATTCTCCCTTTAGTCTTTTCTTGGTGTGGCCCCAGAACGCATACCCGAAATTTACTTATATATTGTTGCCTGCATATTGTAAACCCCATCATGTCGAATATTCTGATCTCAGGCGATATCCCGTGGCCTTCGCCAGGGAGATGCTTCGCCTGTTGAGCGACCTCAAGAAGCATCGGGCAATTTTGCCGCCTTTGCCTGGCAACCTTCCCTCGGGTCAAGAGATGCTAGGAAGCCTTCCTTCGGACTTTGGTCGGGATGAGTTCAGCTGTGCTGCCGTTTCCAAAGTGTACAACTATCTGAGGGGTGGAAAGAACCTCAATATTCCATCTAGCTGGCGGGCCGTGCTGCCTCCAGGGTTCCTCTAGGCCGATAAGCTTAGCGGGTCTAGTGGGTTTATATAGGTGGCTTTGGAGGGGCGGCTTCGGGGGCTTTGCGGGTCCTGGGTCCTTGATTATATTCCAGAATACAATCGTAGCTTTTCAGTAGAATACGTCATGGGTTTCTACGGGGTTGGAGGGTTTATGCGGGGCTTGATGGTTTTTTACAATTATTACAGTTTTTTCTGGTTTTTATACAAAATATTAGAGCCTGAGACCCGCAATCTTTGCCAAACCCGGGGTTTACCCGTGCCAAACCCGTGATTTGCCGCTATAAACCCGGGGTCTGCACCCCACAAACCCTGGGTTCCCGTATCCCGACCCGACTTTTCGCACAAACCCGGGGTTTGGCCAACCCATGCCAAACCCGTGATTTACCCATGCCAGACCCGTGATTTAGGCGTGCCGGCGTCATGGGTAAACCCGGGGTTTGGTGTAGCTCCTTCTTAACATAAATTTAAAGGGTTTTTGCGCTTTTTAGTTGGGCTGTGCTAGGGAAATACAGGGTTCATACGCTTTGGGTTTGGGCTATTGGAGGAACCCTTCAGGAATTAATTCGCCAAGTTTCGTGCCGTGCGAGCTGCCCACGGCCAATTGCCAGATCTGTGATCACTCCGGCCTGACAAAGCAAGCTGTGTGTCCCAGTCAAGCACCAATGAAGTTGTTGCCGTGAACTGAGGGTGTGCACTGTCTTTGGAATGGTTGCTCTGGATCGAGTGTACTTTTTCTAGTTTAGGATTGGCTGTTCGGTGTGTAGCCATGGCGACACCTGCTGTTAGTAAGCTTTGGAGCTGTGGATCTTTTGAATCCGGTGTGGACAGTGTTTCCGCTGCCTCTACGGGACCTGACACCGATGCATTGCTGCTTGAACTCCAGGACCCCCTGGGGGCGATGTGCTATGCTCCTTGTTGCTTGCTGGTAGCTACCACCTCCGCTTCTTAGAGAATCTTTCAGGAGTTGCAGAAGCGGCTGGATGCGGATGCTGCTCGAGCCTTACAAACCCTAAGCCCCGTATAAATCTTAAACCCTCTAGAAACCCTGAGCCCTAATATATATACACCCTAACGAGCCCTTAAACCCTAAAAGACCCTCCACGCCTTGAGGCCGAAGCTCTCCTTCCACCGACACAGGCAGAAGATGCCACCCTCGAAGCGAAGTCCTGAGTTCGATCGAGAGTATAGACTCATCCCCGCGCTAGCTTCGATGTAGGTTCCTATATACCTCTGATAGTTAAGGTGCCGTTGGATGACATTATGCAAGCTGGGCTTTGCCGAGAACCTGAGCCTGTCCCGGAAGTTGCCCCAAGCCCCTCACACGCAGCGGAACTTCCCTTTGAAGGTGGAGAGCCTGCTAACTTCGATAACATGGAGCACGACCCCTACCTGGTGCAGGCCAATTTTCATGTTCTTATAGATTCTCGCTGAGTTTCCTACCTTGATGATTGCACACAAAGGGCTCAGTGCTGATCGGCAATTGAAAGTTCGATTCTCCTTTGTTAGAGGACTCGGGTGACGAGGAAGATGCAATGGATGATGCTTCTTGTCTTGTTTTGTCGAGAGCCAAGTGTGTGTTTGAATAGCTGCCGTGACACTTAATTGCTTAGGCTGCTCCTGCCGATCTTCTTCGGCTCTTCACGAGCATGGTGACCGGTGCCATGACCGACGACGGGGACGACGATGCAACCCCGCACCAAGTTGTGAAGGAGGAGGCAGACGATGCATCGGCCCGGAAGCTGAAGAAAGAGCCAACCCGGCAGGCACCAAACGTTGCATGATCCCTGCACACATATGTTCGGTGTTTGCTTTTTCTTGTAACACACACACACAAAACCAAGTGTATACCGTTCTCCTCCAGGAGAAGCTTTTGCGGGCGGCAAAAGCCAGGATCCATCGAATGTGCCAGGAGAAAACGAAACGCAAAGATTTGCAAGCTCCAAAATGGCTAGTCGATGAGTGGGCAAATGGGAACAAGACGAGCATCGCCCGAGTTCTCCAAGAGGAAAACTTTGATCGTGTGATTCGATTGCACCTACTGTTCATGTTCCTGTGTTGAACCACTAAGTACTGTATATGTTGCCTTAAACCCAACCCAGCCCTCCGCCGCCCAGGAGAAGTTCGTCGCCCGGCTCGAGATCGTGGTGAGGCGCAAGAACACTGTTGACCTCTTGATTGAGGAGGCCTGGACTTCTCGCCAGGAAATGGCAGACGACCTAGGCTGGTCCGAGCCGCCTGGGTTTAATCTTTATCGAGTCTCCTGCTTCTTAGGCTCCTGAACCCTATAGAACTCCTACGCCCCAAGAACCTATATATAGCAGATCCCAGATTAGCCACCAAAAGACCCTAAGCCCCAAGCTAGCCATCGTCTGAGGACCAAGATCAAAGGTGCAGTTCGTGATTGCGAGCTCAAAGCCAAGACCCACATCAGGCAGGCATGTAGTTCTCAGTTTTCAGGCCTCCTTTGTTATTTCATTCCATTGCCCTTTGTCAGAAAGAATCAATACGACGGTGAATTGGAGTACTGGGTTCACATCAAAGAGTCCGGAAAGTGCAAAACCCGCGCCGAGTATGAGGAGACCCACCGAAAGGAGCAGGGCGCCCCTTGAAATGCACCCATAAATAAATCATGTTGCTTGCCATGTGTCGTTTCTAACAATGACGCAGCTCGTTGGCCCAGGTGAAGGAGATGCCGAAGATGGATAACCTGCAGAACTTTGGTGCGATCGATGCCTATGCGGCCCGCGAGAATATGTCGCCCACGGTGGGCGAGACCCCGGACCCACATGTGCACAAGCATGCCCAAGCTGCTCGCAATAAAACCTTCATGAAGTCATTCCTATCGAAGCCCCACAACCTGAACCACTACTACCTAAGGAAAAGGAAGCCCTGGAGAAGTTCATGGAATCCATGATGACTAGAATCAGCAAGCTACGCTGTTTGGCAAAAGAGCTGAGGACGAAATATAAAGACAGCGACAAGCCCTTCGGCCAATATATCCAGCTAGAAACAATATGTGCCCCGAATACAAAACCCTGAACCCTACAAGCCCAGGAGTGTGAGCAACCTCGAAGTTGACATCAAGAACCTCGAGGCTCACTACGACAAATGCCAAGACGCAAAGCTGAAAGGTGACATCCGCCTCAATGAGGAGTCTTTTGACATGCAGTAGCATCAGTAGCTGTTCGAACAAAGCTTGGGTTCTCGTCATCGAGCGACAACACTTATATGTCTTTGCATCACATACAATCCAGCCGACTGGCCAACTAAGGTTTTACCAAGCGAGCCAGAAGTGCATCAAGGATGCCACCCCAGTGTGCTGAACTCAAAATACACATAGCATGGCCCCAGGTCTATAAGGCTAAGGTCCAAGTCTGCTAAGTTGCCACCAAATCCTCTCGGTATGAAGTTAAGGTGCTCACGAGCTGCATCAACCGAGGTGAAGATCAGGAATCTGTTGCCTAGAAGCTTTAGGTTAAATCCTTTTGAAGCAAGCTGACTGCAGGACTGCCAAGAAGTACTACGACAAGCTTGGTGGCAAACCCCCGGCCAAGCCGAATCCCGCCAATCCTGTTGAGTCAAGTGAGAAGCCTCGGCCAGCCAAAAAGGCAAAGGCCAAGGCGAAGAAGTAGACCAGTCTGGCTGCCTCCATGACAGGGTGAGCTGGCATAGCTCGCGAGATCTGAAGCTTGATTTGTGGTTTGTGCCGCAGATCCTAGCCGCTTCCGTTGCTCGCTCCAGCAACAATTAGCCTTGAGACGGCTGCTTGGGAGATCAGGGAATGATGGCGCAATTGTTTCAATCGCTTGCTAGATGTTTTGACTAAGTCATAAGATCTGTACCCGCCCTATAAACCTGACCTTAAAACCCAGGGATCGGAACCCCAACGGTTTAATACACCCAGTACACCTAAGAAAGAATAACCCCCAATCCTATGAGAACCCAAGCGCTTCAACTCCACTTCTACTGTGCAGCTGTGTTCGGAGGGTGTAGTTCTAAGTCTAAGGTTTTGGGTTTAAGGGTTCTTTCAGTGACAATATGTACAACAGCCTATGCACAGTTGCCCTATGGTTCACTTATGTAGATTACCCAATCCCAAACGTCCAACCGAAGCTCCGACGAGGCCCCCTTACATGGTTTCCGTGGTGTATGATTCAGAAGCCATAGATTTTATGCTGAAAGCCCCAAGTAACCCAAACATATTCCCTAAAGTAAATTGTGCATTTTCCATAGATATGACCATCAAGCTTCATGAGATGGCTTCTCACTCGATCGACATCATAAATCCTTATCGAAGAACCAACTATCTAAGCAGAACCAAACCTCCTCAAGATCCCAGATGCCCTCTAAAACCAATGCCAGGCCCTAAAGTTGGGCACATCGTTCGTGGCCTCTCTCGAGATATTGGCGGCGGGGCACGAAGCTCAGCAGTCGTCGGCAGCACCGCTTAAATGTTATGGCAGGCTGAGCAGTCTTGAGTTGTGTGCTGAAGTGCAACCTGTATCTCGCTATTTCTATTGGTTCTGGGCTCTGAAGGCATTGCCACCAGTAGGTACAAAAGCTGCCTCGATGCACGAATGCCTTGATGTAGAGACCCCCGAAGATGAGCTGCTAGATCTGCTGACGTGCCATCGCAAGGACTCCAAGTACAATGGTAGCAACTTCCTATTTCGTTTTGGGTAATTATTATACGAGAAAATAAAGGCCGTTCAAAGTTGTTGTTGATTCATCGCTTTATGTACAATCAAGCGCAACATCATTTAGGACGACGTGGTTCCCTTCCCGAGGACAACCGCAACAGCTGCGAGCAAAAGCGATGATTCCCAAGGAACTACAAAACCTTGTCCAGTCGCACAGGACTACCAGACTCTACCGGATTCCAAAGTAGATTTGGCTGCAGCCAGCACCAGCATCACGAGCATGTACGACAACAAACCAGATGGTTCGGACAACCCTATCCTGTACAATCTTCCTGCAGACGGCTGTTCGGCTGGTAAAGTTTTGCAGCATGCGGTGCGGGCTATGGAAAAGCTTTTCCGGAAGCACGAACCAATGATTTGGAAGGTTGGCTACACGCACAATGCTGAGTTTCGCTGGTCGAACGACTTGTATGGCTACGCGAAGTCTCGAGACAAGTGGTCGTGTATGGTCGTCCTTTTCAAGACGAATGAACCGTTTAGCCCAGCCATGCTGGAGGCTGCCCTTATAGACAAGTTCGGTAGAAGCATGCCTGTATTTTCATAATGTTTTTCTTCTTTGTTTAGTACTTGTACCGTTAGTTAGAAGAAAAAAGATGGCCTCGATTTTGTGTGTCGTTCACATGTGAGGTCGACAGGGGTGCAGGAATATCAGAGCCGGGGGCGACACTGTTCAAACATCGATGCCTCGACCAGAAGATCGTTTCATGACATATGTCGTGTACAGATCTTTCAAGCATCCCCCTCCGACGAGGTTCGATACCTGAGTTTTGTAAAGCCGATCCAGTTCGAGACCGGGGCAAAGTTTTAGCTTTACCGAGTGCTTCGAAGAGCAAAAGCGATTTCTGCATGCATTCGTTTCAGCGAGTATACTGCAATGTAGAACTTTAGCACGTATCAGTTTGCAGCAGCATGCCAGCTTCAACTGTGATCATCTGGAACGAGCTGTGCAAAAACATTTCCGTGCTCGCCCAGGCTTCTTGCACGAGTGCCATCCGGACTGCGCGAGCAGTCGTGGAGGACCTGGGAGAGGAGAAGGCTGGCGAAATAGGTGGGCTGCTCCGGCTTTCGAAGTGCTCTACAAAGAATCCTGAAAGGGATACTCGTTCTTTGCTAGCGAAGCGACTGGGTTTAGCTCTTGATATACCACTTCGGACAATTTCGGTGGCAAGCGAAAAGTCTGAGACAACACATTTCGAGATGTTGTCCCTCGTTGACTGGGCTTCTTTTCTGCTGAAAACCAACACGTGGCATATTCTTTCAGGCCTTCTCAGGCCTGATGCCAAAAGAGAAAGATTTATATGGGCTGCATTCTGGAAGAAGTACGAATGTCTTCAGCCTGCTCACCCCGTTTTTGGCATGGCACGAAACAACGAGATCGACCTCAGCCGCACGGCGGCTGTGGTCATGCACGGGGACGAAGGACGCGGCAGACGCCGCCAGGCTTTTATGGTTCTGTCATTCCATTCTTTGCTGGGCAGGGGGACGAACTCTGCAAACAAGAAATCCGTGAAGAAACCTTATTTAAAGATGAAGCTGAACTTCAAAGGCCATAGCTACTGTTCGAGGTTGCTTTCTGGTGTACTTCCCAAGCACTTGTACCAGAAGGATGATGAGGTGTTCGAGACCTTGTTGCGGGCGTCGTGCGAGGATGCCCGCACGATGATGACAAAGGGAGTGCTCGATGCCAATGGAAATCGTTTTTGGATGGTTTGCTTGGGCACAGTGGGAGATTGGCCCTTCCTTCAGAAGAGCGGCCACCTCGTGCGGACATATGCGAATGTCGTGAAAAGGGTTGATCAGGTTGCTGGTGGGATTTGCCACCTGTGCGATTGTGGCCCCGACACTTTGCCTTTTGAACGGTTTGCGACGAGACGACCTGACTGGCTGGCAACCTTGAATACAACATCACCTTTTCAAACAACGCCAGCAGCAGCAAGGATTCCACATGCCCCTGGGCAGCTTGCAACAACTTTTTATTTCGATTTGTTCCACTGCTGGCACCTGGGGGTGGGACGGAACTTCGCAGGCAGTGCACTCGTTCTCTTGAGCGATTTGCACGCTGGCAATGTTGATGAGCGATTCGATCAATTGACGATACAGTACAAAGATTGGTGTCGACGAAATGGTGCTCCCCCGATTCTCACCCGGATCAACAAGGACAATATACAGTGGGCATCAACTTCCGAGTTTCCGACGGGGACGTGGTTCAAAGGCGCTGTCACGACGAATATGGTGCAGTTTTTCGAAGATTGTGATGGATTATGCGACGAGCCGCTTTTTCGACTCGCGATTCAGGCGGCCCAAGCGATCAACGAGTTTTTCCGGCTCTTGTATTCCTCCGACCTTTGGTTGCCTCCCGAAGTCGCCCGCCGAGCAGCTGAGTTGATGTTTCGCTTCTTACGAAGGTATGAGTCCTGCGCTCGGCTTTCGTATGAAGATGAGCGGACATTATTCATTGTGCAGCCAAAGTTACACACTTTACAACATTGCGCGATCACTCTCCTGCACACGGCCGTTCGAGACATGGAAGCGCTGAACCCACTGGCTTTTGGAACCCAAATGTCCGAAGACTTTGTCGGACGACAAAGTCGCCTCAGCCGCCGGGTGACGTCATCTCGGCAAACAATCACGAGAGTCATCGAACGATACTTGCAGGCGGCACATGCCGAGTTCGTACAGTGCGGATACTTGAGGATCGCGCCGAGCTGAAAAACGAACGAGCTTCGCTTCTTTATCGATCTTAGAAGCATCAGGAGCATCAGCTTAAACCTCGAACTGCACAAACCCCGGTTCTCAATCTCAGACCCCGTGTCCCACATGCCAACCGACATTTTAAGCGTGTCTAGTGGGTACAGGTATTCCTTAATTAAGGGGTATTGGGTTCTGTTGGTTAGTATTTAGGGTTCAGGTTTGGGCAAGTAGCTACACATACAGGCCCATATATGCCTTCCACAGACACACACGTTCTTAAGTACAGGTGCGCACACATACATACACACAGGCATACATGCATGCATACATGCATGCATACATACATGCATACATACATGCATACATACATACATACATACATACATACAAGAAGACATATACATAAACACATAATATGCCGAAAACCAAATGCAGCTACAGGCGCGTAAGGAAATCGCTCTCTTACCTTTCTTCATTCTACCCAAACGACACATGCATATAGTCGTTCGGAGCTTTGGTGAACTATACTTCAACTAAACCGTAATTCTACTGCAAAGCCTACATACATGCTTGAACACATGCATGCATGCATATATGCATACATACAGGCGTACATACGTTTGTACATACGTACATACGTACATACATACATACATACATACATACATACATAGCTACATACATGTTTAGAAACAACTACATCTATGTGTATGTATATATATATATACACATAGTAACTATAGGTATGTATGCATTCACGGCGTATTGTATTGATCATGATTACTGTATCTCTTTATGCATTTAAGACATTTAGGACCCTAGATTCAGTTGCTGGCGAGCCGCATGCCCGCGCGTTGCGCCTCTTCGATAAACACTGGGAGTTCCTGGCACAACAGCACCGTAGGTTTATAGACCCTAAACTTGGTTTAGGGTTTAGGGTTGAGAGACCCTAAACCCTACCTGGACCCCAAAGAACCTACCTTTTTAGGGCTCCTTATTAAAATTTCTGTATAGAAGTCCTTAAAACGGTAGGTTCTTTGGGGCTAAACCCTACCTGGGACTCTAATTACCTACAGTTTTATGGGTTCTACCTAGTAATTAAGGGGGTCATGGCTGCTAAACTGTAGGTCAAGAGAGGGCCTTGGGTGTTGCTTAGGGTGTAGGGCCTGGGAGCTAGAGAATAGGGTTTCTGTACAGAGTTGCTTCTAGAAAGAGTTGCGCTGGTAGCTTGCGATGTGTAGTACTGGCCTAAACGTAAAGGGCAGGAGATGGCTTCAGCATACTACCATACCACATCGCCTACTGTTGAGGTTGACGTGCAAACAAGAAAGCGTTTCGTTGACGTGCAACCGTACAGTGTTGTGCGACGGGGTTCTATATGGGTAATGATGAGGGCTTCGATCAGAATTCAACCTTTAGAATTGTTGGGTGCTCCATATGGGGAGCTACACGAGGCTTTGGTTTATTTCAGGGATTTCCACTTGAGGGAGTTACCGATAAAACCCTGTAAGCCCAAAGCCCTAAAGCCCTAAACTGACCCTAAATCCCCCACCCCCCCCTACCCCCCCCACTCCGTCCCCCCCAACAAAAAGCGCGGAGCCCTGTACCCTGATTCTACGTCCCCCGAACCCTATGCAGGTCGTACTAAGACCTTGGCCCAGAGCGCGTAAAGCCCTAAACTTAAACCACATCCTAAGACTCCAAATGGCCCGAAGTAGGTACCATGTATAGACTTTAGGACCCAAAGTAGGTACCATTTAAAGACTTTAGGACCCCAAATAGGTGCTATTTGTATACTTGGAGTCTGAGGGAAAAGCGTCTTGGGTTCTTTGTACTGGAAGCTTGACAACACCTTCAGAGGTTGAAGTGTATGGTTCGGGGATTTCGAGTTTAGGAGTTGGGGATATCCAAAAACAAGGGGTAGGGGTAGACTACTTCGAGTGCTGTAAATTAAGACCTTGGAGTAATGCAGAGTGTTGTCCAGCAGCAGTACAACTGTAAATTTGCATGACGTTCTCGTCTTTCCTGAATACGCTCAGTTGTCTGCTCATTTTGGGACACGAACAGGCATACATAAGGATCCCTTGAACATTCCACGAAGCATATAAAAACAAACGCAACCTTGGGAAACACCGTGCAAATCCGACAAACATCGAGAAAATTCAAGTCTATCCCTAAACCCCTCCACCCTTAAACCCTGGAGCCATAAACCCTAAACCCTAAACCCTTAAACCCTTAAGCCCTTAAACCCTGGAGCCCTAAACCCTAAACCCTCAACCCTTAAACCCTCGAGCCCTAAACCCTAAACTCTAAAACCTGGAGCCCTAAACCTCCTATACCCCCAAACCCTAAACCTGGGCACACGTGCCTCCAGGACTTGTGTGTGCCGAGCGGACTTCGCCATGACTTCTTTCAGCTTGTCGCCCACCTCGCAACTGTCGGGTCTAGGGGTTTAGGGTTTGGGGTTTGAGGTTTGGGGTTTAAAGTTTCAGACTTCATCTTTCGGTTTAGGGTTTAGGGTTTAAAGCTTAGGGTGTAGGGATTAAGGTTTCAGACTTCATCCTTCGGTTTAGGGTTTAGGGAGTTTAGGGTTTAGGGCGGAACCCTCATCGGAAACCTTAGTGTAACATCTTTTCTGTTGGAAACCCCTAAGCCCTAAACCAACCCACAACCCACAACCCTAAACCCTGAACCCTAAACCCTAAACCCCTAAACCCTAAACCGCCAAGCCCTAAACCCACACAGGAACCCTATAGATCCCTTTAAAGAACCCTATAGATTCCTTTAAGGAACCCTATAGATCCCTTTAAGGAACCCTATAGATTCCTTTAAGGAACCCTATGGATCCCTTTAAACGAGCCCCAAACCCACGCAGAGCAAAGCCTGCTCCTGCTCTTCAGCGCGAGTGAGGCGCTTCTGAAGTCTCTCTATGTACCTCAGGGGGCGTCTGTTTAGTTTTCTTCGGTTCAGGGTGATTTAAGATCTGGGGTTTTAGTATAGGGTTTAGGGTTTAGGGTTTATGGGGTTTAGGGTTTAGTACCTCAGAGGGGGTCTGTTTAGTTTTCTTCGGTTCAGGGTGACTTAAAGTGGGCCCTAAGACATAAAGTTAGGGTTTAGGGTTTAGAGTTTAAGGGGTTTAGGGTTTAAGGATTCCAAATGGCCCAAAGTAGGTACCATTTATAGACTTTAGACCCCAAAGTAGGCACTGTTTGTATACTTGGAGTCTTAAATTAGGGTTAGGTTCAGGGTTTAGGGTTTGGGATGGTTTAAAGTCTGGGGCTTAGTACGGCTTTAAGCGGCAACCCTAAGATACGGTTGATGATATAAATCCTGCACTACCCAGAATAAGAAATGTACCATAAGCCCCATAGTTTAAAGCCCTTAAGGTAATGCAGGAGTTATATCATCAACAGTAGTACCCCAAGTAAGGGACCGAAGGTGGTGCTGGCTCTGGAGGGAGCTAACAAGGCCTCTGTAAGGTCTACTTAAAGGTTTAGGGTTTAGGGTTTAGAGGTTTAGGGGTTTAGGGTTTAGGGTCTAGGGTTTAGGGTTTACGGTTCAGGGGTCTGTAATAGCAGTATCTAGGATCTGCAATATAGAAAGGGAGGTAACCTAAAAGAAGGCGGTAGGGTATGAGCGTCTAGGACTCTAGGTAGAAACTAGAAAACCTGTAGACACTAACAATATTAAGCACCGTATAAAACTCGATGTACCCATAGGCCCCTAAGTAGTTCCTTTTTGGGATTACCTATAGGATTCTAAACATAAACCACAAAAGGGAACTACTTAGGGGCCTATGGGTAAGCCAACAACGTCTTAAACACCCAAAATATGAAGCCATGACCCCAGTACAACTCCACGAAACCTGAAAAATGAACCCTATGCAGCCCTTTGAAAGCCCTAACATCCTTGACCCCCGAGACCAACCTGTCTGATCCCCAAACCCTAAACCCAAACCCCCAAACCCTTATAGACACCCTTCAAGGAACCCTTATGATTACAGTAACCCTCAGAAGGAACCCTACATAGGTACCTAGGACCCTTAAATAAGGACCCTGAACCCTAAACCCTTAGAGGAACCCTAAAAGGAGCCCTTACGGTTGACCTTTGAAAGGAACCCTATATACCCTGCCCTACACCCCAAAACCCTTATATGTATGTGAGTGTGTATGTGTATGTGTATATATATATATGTATGTATGTATGTATGTATGTATGTATGTATATATATATATATAGGACCCTGAACTTGAAGGAGCCCTTAAAGCAACCTTTAAACCTTAGAGGAACCCATAGTAGGTACTTTGGACCCTAAACCCTTTAACCCAAAGCCCCAAACCCTAAACCCTAAACCCTAAGCCCTAAACCCACCCTGAAGAGGAACCCTCAAAGCATCCCCTACTGTTGAAGATATAAATCCTGCATTTATGCTATAATAAGGAATATGCCATAAGTCCCATATTTGAGGGTCTTCAAGGTAGTACAGGATTTACATTATCAACAGTATGAGTCCGTTTATGGCTATTGAACCTTACGCCCATTCTAGCTGATCGAGCCCAAAACTCCCAAAACCTGTGACCCCTAGAACCTACCACACCCGAAAACAATCAAACTTTGTGGCCCTACATTTATCTGGACTTTGAAGTTACCAGGGAGAAAAAAGTATAAACTTTTAATTTATAATGGTTCCTTTAAGGAACAAAACAAAAGTATTCAAGTATGGTACTCTAAAACCCAGCTATCTCATCAACAGTGGTAGGTCCCCAGGACCCCCTTTTTCTGTCCGAGGGGCAAGGCGATGACCGGGCTTTCCTCGCGAACGCCGGAGGCCAAAATCCGGCGGAGGACCTGCAAAACGCCGGAAGTCGTAGGGTTTGGGGTTTAGGGTTTCTTTAAAGGGATCTATAGGGTCCCTTAAAGGGATCTATAGGGTTCCTTAAAGGGATCTATAAGGTTCTTTAAAGGGGGTTTTTGGGTTTAGGGTTTGGGGTTTAGGGTTTGGCAATTGGGTTTTCGGG